TTTTTTTTTTCCGAGACAGGGTTTCTCTGTGGCTTTGGAGCCTGTCCTGGAACTAGCTCTGTAGACCAGACTGGTCTCGAACTCACAGAGATCCGCCTGCCTCTGCCTCCCGAGTGCTGGGATTAAAGGCGTGCGCCACCACCGCCCGGCTTTTTTTTTTTTTTAGTTTTTCGAGACAGGGTTTCTCTGTAGCATTGGAGCCTGTCCCGGAACTAGCTCTGTAGACCAGGCTGGCCTCGAACTCACAGAGATCCACCTGCCTCTGCCTCCTGAGTGCTGGGATTAAAGGCGTACGCCACCACCGCCCAGCTTTTCTTCTTTTTTTAAATAGACTCTCATGTAGCCTAGAACTTCTGATCCTCCTGTGTCTACTTCCAGGGTGTTGGAGTTAGATGTGTGCCACCATGCCTGTGTTTATTTGCTGGGGATCAACCCAGAACTCCGTGTGTGCTAGGCACTACACATTCTAGGCTCCGTGTGTGCTAGGTGAGCACTCTGCTAACTGAACCCCTTTTGTTTTCTTGAGACAGAGCCTCATGTAGTCTAAGTTGGCCTGGAGCTCACCTGTAGTTGAAGATGACCTTAGACTCCTGGCCCTGTTGGCCTGGAGCTCACCTGTAGCTAAAGAGGACCTTAGACTCCTGGCCATCATACCTTTGTCTTTCAAGTGATCACCGTGCCTGGCTGCAGCTTTTGTTTGTTTGTTTTGTTTCTTTGAGGCAATTTTTCTGTGTAGCTCTGGATGTCTGAAACTAGCCCTGAATCATCCCAAGTGCTGGGATTAAAGACATGCTCATTCACACCAGGCCATTTTTCTTTCTTGGAATAAACTGGTCTTCACTGTAGGGTAAGACTTCCATTCTGATATAGTTTATATTTGTAAAAATATTTACATAGCCAAAAATTCCAAATGAATTTGAAGGGCTAGGAATGTGGCTGAATTGGCAGAGTGCTTGCCTGGCATGTATGAAGCCCTCGGAACCTGCCCTGGCACCGTGGGGACCAGCTGTAGTGCTGCACGTCTGTAATCCCAGTGCTTGGAGGAGCAGAGCTCATCCTCACCCCATCCTGAGTTCCAGGCCAGCCTGAGCTTCCTCCAACCCCCAAAGGAAAAGGTTTGCAGTGTGTAACGAACAGCCTTCTTATCCATGGCAGTCACCCAGTCCCTTCCGTGGACCACTGTGGATCAGGGTCATGGTTTGAGACAGGGCCTCACACTGAAGCTCTAGCTGGCATGAGCTAGCAAACTCAGCAGTCCTGCCTCAGCCTCTGGGTACCGAGATTACAAGCTGGAGCTACCGTGCCCTGCCTGGCTAATCATGAGGTTTAAGTGTTTCCTACTAGAATGCCACCTAAGGCAACGTGCAGTATGTGCCCTTGTTTTTACAGCAGAAAGCAGAGTTTTTAAAGCCCTTTTCGAGTCTTGTCCTTTTTAAATGGGTGATATGTCCACAGTGACTCCTGAAAAGCCCCAGAGATGGACAGTAGGAATTTTTGGCAGATGCAGGTAGAAACAGAGAAGCAAAGGATGCAGTGGAGAGGCCCAAGATGACAGAGGGCTGAGGGCTTGTCCTGGTTGTAGAGGCACTGTAAGGGTAGGTGGATGGTACCTTGTATCTTGAGGCGTTGTCTTTCCCTGGATTCCAGAGCAGCTGTCGCGCCTGTGTCCTCAGGAGTGCCCTCACATTGTCTTCCAAGCCGTCTCTGGGCCCCTGGCTGCAGCCACTGCCTCCGTCCTCACCAACCCTATGGATGTCATCCGAACCCGTGTGCAGGTAACACTGCCTCCTTCCCGCCCTTAACTCAGAGATTAGAAGCAAGAACTGTAGGCCTCCAGTGTCCAGTGACCTCAGTGTGCCATAACCCTGATGTCTAGTCAGCCTTGTGACCATGCAAGTCCCTTCCTGTGCTTATCTGTGCAGCTACCAGCTGAGCGCTTGAATGCAGCTGTTTTCCTACTGTCTGCACCTTGTACGTCTCTGCCCATTACATCTCCAGCCTCTGGGAATTCATCCTGCTTTCTTCTAGGCTTCATTGAAATCTGTTCCATACTCTGCCAGCCAAGGCCCTGAGCCGCCTGCTTCCTTGCCTTGCAGGCTTGTGGTGATTAGAATTACTGCTTCATATTGACTTCAGAAGTCTCTGATGTTTCCACTTGGGGCCATGAATCCATGGAGAATGAGAGACTGAAGTCAAAGAGGTGATCTTTAAAGTTGTGATCTGGCAGGAGGGAGGAGGAAGCAAGACTGGGAAAAAATGGGAAGAGAGATGAAAATGTCCTTTTTCCTTTCAAAAGTATTATTTATTTATTGTGTATGCACGCATGTGTAAATGAGATTGACCTGGTCTGAGCAGAATCGAGAAGAAAACTTGGGTCCTAGGAATCAAACTCAGGCTGTCAGGCTTGGCAGCAGGAGCTTTTACTAACTGAGTCATCTTGCTGGTCCTTTTTTCTCCCCACCCTTAAAGACAGGTCCTCCTGTATCCCCAGTTGGATTGGGCTCTATAACTAGCCCCTTGGCTCCTGACCCTCCTCTACCTCTGAGTACTGGGGTTCACACCTGCTTTTAGAAGTGCTGGACTTTCCAAGCAAGTACTGAGCCATCTGACCTCCACAGCTTTTTGGCTCTTTTTGAGACAGAGTTCCTATAGTTCAGTCTGGTCTCACGGCTGTGGCTGTAATGAGGCCAGCTTTGAATTCCTAATACCAAGTCCTGAGATCACAGGAAGTTGCCCCAGTATTTGGTATTTTCTTGTTTTTTTTTTTTTTTAATTTATTTATTTATTTT